TAAGGCGAATTTACTGAAACCAACTTACACAATCAAATTTATAATTATTGTTTTACTGGTGTCACCCCCCCCCCCTCCCTTCAAAAACACACACTTTCACCCTCGGGGGCATTTGATAAGGAATTAAGCATTGATAAATTATTTAACAATCACGTCCAAGCATCGATATTTTGATTTGCAATTATCCAATATGTGAAACCCCAATTTACTTTGGTGGACGGTGTATTTCACTCTGATCAGTAGCTTACATATTTGTCTGTAAAAGTTGCAATTGGTGTCACCCCCTCTTCCAATTTTAACGATATGGCATCAGTTTGGAACACAGTATATCAATCCATCTATCTATTAATTTAACAATAGTAGACCCTACTGGTTGAAGAAGTAGTAAAAACCGATCTTATGAAAGTGATATAGACCAAAAAGTTTAGTTTATTATCAGCAGCGATATATTTTTAAATACTTTTGTTTCAACCAACGTGCAGAGGCGTAGCGACCCCTCCCGGCGCCCGGGGCGAACTTTCAGTTTGGCGCCCCTCCATATATATATATATATATATATATATATATATATATATATATATATATATATATATATATATATATATACGTGTGTGTGTATGTGTGTGCGACAGTCTGGAAAAAATTAACAATTACGCTGACTGTCGTAAACTTCACTCGACGCCAATAAAATTCCCGTTAAGATGCATTGTCCTTTAAAAATGATGATTAGTAATGTCAGAAAAAAATTAAAATTGTAGCGGAGCTAATTCGTTTTGGCAAAGAGTGTCGCTTCCCACCCACTCGCTCCGACAGTCTGCTATTTTACTGATCGGATAGCGATACAAGAATCCGTGATATTTATTTCTCTTTAATGCAGTGATCCAGGCAAGATGTAATGCAATCAAGTAAAAGTATCTGATCTATCACGATCAAACTGAGAGAATCGTAAGAATTGTACAAAGAACTAGTCGCGTTATTACTTATCAAAACTGGTTGGTGAAAAAGTGCCCCACCATCTTGCACAAAAATGGTAGAGTGGATTTTAAACGTCACTAACTCTTTTTTTTATGTTACACAATCGTAAAATACGCTTTAGTTCAATGTTTTGTTTTTTTTTCTGAGTAATATCTGTTATTTATTCCTTAATCCGTTGTGAATTTTTCCGATTTTAGTCTTCGAATAAGCGCCCCCCCCCCCCCCCCATCTAGGAAACTGGAAAGCGGTTTTTCCGGTCACTCTTTCTTAAGGATATACGTTTTACAGTTACACAAAAAGGTAGAAAACAGTTAAATCAGTATGCAAGGGCTCTCAGTCGTTACATTTCTTTACTTTGGCTGTTTATAATTCAAAACTGCAGCTTAAAATGAACTTTAATAAATTTTTTCTACCCCTTTTGGCGCCCCCTTAGGGTCGGCGCCCGGGGCGGCCGCCCTCCCCGCCCTCCCCTAGCTACGCCTCTGCCAACGTGGAATTCAACAAATTGTTAATAAAACTGTTTCATGATATTTTGCAAAAATGTTAATATTTTTAACAGAAGATAACAGAAAATGGAGAACGAAATAACTGAACAAAAAAGGCGGTGGATGAGGCACGCATTGGAAGGCGCTGATGTAAAATCCACGGGGAAAGAAAAAGTAGAGTCTGCTTTGACCGATCGCGGCGATCGGCACATAAAGAGTATTGTGGTCAGCACTATGCCCATCCGCGGATAAGAGTGAGCAAGTTATAAAATGCAAATCTTGCATACAAAAATATGTCTAGTTTGCTTCTCTTCTGAAATTGCAAAAACAATTTTTCAGTCAGACATAGGCTACATATCTGTTTTAAAAAAACTCAGATATATCAAATTATTGACTAGGGAGTTTATTTTATTTTTACATTATAGAATTTATCTGTTTGAACACGTTAACTTGACACCCGGAAAACGTGGTGTTCGGTGGGTTGGGGGAGGAGGGAAATCTGGGGCGGACATCAGGAAGTGCGTTGCGCCATTGCTATTAAGTGAAACGATCATCGTTTTCGTGTTTGCAGACACACGTACACAGATCCACGGCTTCGGAAGGTTGTTAAGGGGTCATCCATAAATGACGTCATGCTTTTTTGACGATTTTACCTCACCCCTCCCCTCCGTCACACGTCGTCACAAAAGCCAGACCCCCTAAAATGACGTCACACCTCCGCCTACAACCCCCCCCCCCCCCCCTCAAAATTGCTGTTGAATTTTTCTTAAATATCGATATTTTTCCAAAATCTTGTCAGAACTCTGTCAATATAGAATATTTTGATCAATTCCTATTACAATTTATTAAAACCGTTTTCTAAAACGCGAAATAACGGCTAAAACTCGTTTTCTAACATCGCTTTTTTATAATGCAAAAGTGTGACGTCACACCATCTAACCCCCCTCCCCTTCATCTCACACCGTCACAAAATTAAGGAACCCCCCCTCCCCCCTACGAATGTGACGTCATTTATGGACGACCCCTAAGTGTCAAAATTTGTGAAAATCTCGATTTAGATATTTTGCACGATTATATTCCGTAGGAATAAAATAGAAAAAACTGAAAATGTCATTTAGTATTTGTGTAAGAATACAATATTTTATCTAGATCTATATTCGTAACACGAGAAAGTAAAAATATACGCTAGACTAGAGACAAAAGAAGCAATCATTTTATTTTTAAAGTCAAAGGAAAGTGTAAACATACTCTTGGATTAGACTGGAGAATTTTGGCTTTCTGTACATTCAAACTGGCACAGTAAACACAGCGGAAATAATTTTGTGAGTGGACGTTGCTTACGCCATCTTGAGAAGAATTGGGTGTTGCATTATTGCGTCGATTAATATTGACGTGTACTCTAAATTTCATTGAGCTTAAACCAGTAAAAGTAAGTATTTTAATTCGATTTTAATTACTGTCTTTAACACATAAAATAAAACAATATGATAATTATTTGAAATGAAAGGTGTTACGTTTTGGACGTGTTGTAGTTGTATGCCCATCTTCAGCCCTCTTGTATTTTTAATTTTTTATCCCATTCTCCTGTTCTAGATCTAGAATCTAGACTAAATCTAGAATTTACTCTGCTTTCAACTCAGTTCTAGAAACTCTGCTGCTCTTTAGTCTATAGATCTATACATAAGATCTATAAACAAAGGTCTAGATCTAGATTTTAGTCGAAAAATAGATCCTACTTAAACTACTTTGTAGTTTTTTGGTAGGCTGATCTATGTTTTAGGTAGGGCCTAGGTAAAATCGCCCGCGGTAATCTTAATCTATCGTTTTAGGTACGTAAAATCGCCCGCGACTTGTAATGTGAAAAACAGGTGACTCCTTAAATTTTAGGCAGATGCTAGCCGGAATAAGATATGCATGCGATGCGCAATGGAGAGAAACTATGACTTGCCTTCACGGCGATGTTTTCGATGGTACTGCGCATGCGTGTGTTTACAACCGCAGAACCCTAAAACCAACCCTAATCCTAGCCCTAACCCTAGCCCTATCCCTAACCCTCATTCTAGCCCTAACCCTAGCCATAGGTCATTGCGCATGCGCAGAGCTATCTTTTGCCGACTAAGTGGAGACGCTGGGGAGAAAAATCTTCTTCTGAGTAGTCACTTCGTAAATTTTAATAGGCCTAATTTAGTAATTATTTCACATTTTGAGGATTTATGTTTTTTAAAATACAAACATGTTTCCTTGTTTCATTTATGTAATTGTAGGCCTATGCCCCTACCTGTTTCTAAAGAATTGAATTAAAACATTTCCGTAATAAATGAAGACTAGCGATGTTTCCAACAGATACAACCATGCTCATTTACTATAGCAGCCATCTTGTTTAAGTTTTATTTTTATAAGCTTATAGCGCGAGATTCAGGGGGGGAAGCCACTCTATTTTACAAATGGCTGCTGTTTATATTAATAATATATAGCAAATCTTGCTCTCAGACACTGCTGTTTAAAGTTTATTTCTGGCCTATATCGATATATGGCAGGAAACAGATTGGTACCGCAAAATGCATATTCGGTCTTCGCCGTTCACAAACTTTCTAACCAGACATCGTTCGGGGATTTTGTTTATACTGATAAATAGAGCAAGGTTTTTACAAGCTTCGTTAGCAACATTTTTGTGGAATTCGTTTTTTATGACATTTTGTGCCGCGGCGAAGGATGCGAAGTATGCAAATCTAGACGGAATGGATCTACTTGGAAAGTACGTGTACTGCACTAATGAGGTAAGAAATAATATTTTGTAAAAATAACTATTATTTTTTTATGGATTTTTCATTAGAAATGATTGCTGTAAATTATAAAAGTAAAAAAAAGTATATTTGAATGCGTTTTTTACTTTAATTTGAACAAAATGACTGCCAAAAATTACGACACATCGGCGTCGCTGAAAGCGGGAATTTCAGTTAATTTTTTACGGATATAAAATTGTATTTTTTTACTCCGAAGCATGTATTTAAATAACAGTTAAGTTAAATCTATTTAATTCTGTAAAATATAATTATTATTTTGCTGTAGATACTTTTTTTTATATTTTTAATGATTTTCTGTCGCGGAAAATCGGTATTCGCACCATGCACGCACACGTAGTAAAACTAGACTTATCTTTAAAACACGAGAATCTTGAGTACACTGCGAATAACAAAGTTTTTAAATTTTAGTTTACTTTTGACTTTAAGCCATTTGTTTTAAATCGAAATTAATTGATAATGTAATTATTTCAAAGTAAAAATTTTCCGTCGCAAATTGGCTTCTAACCTTCGCCACTGAACCAGCCTACGCACGACATTCGCGCGAGTCTGTTTCTTCGCAATAGTCTGTATAGTGTCGAGGGCTAATTCTAAAAAGAATCGAGTCCTTACTAATCTAATGTTTATTAAAATTAGGTACAATTGTTGGAACGCATGAGAAATAACAAATTAATATTTCTTTAAATCTATAGCCAAAAGAAAGTAGAACTTTATAACTCTGTAAATTATGAATCGAGTGACGGCTGTCGTGAAAACGGGAGCCATTTTACTCTTTTTTAGGGTGACCTACTTTTATTATATAAGTTTAAAATTCATGAATTTGATAAGCAGCTGAGTAGCTGACTACGCATGCGATATGGCTGGCACGTTTTGGGATAGGGATCGAGTACACCATAGAATTTTTTTTTCTTAGAACTAAGCGTATTTTTTTTTTAAATCAAAAGATACTTACATATCAGTTGTTGATTTCAATTTCATTATAGATCTAATCACTAACTTCAGTTTTTAAAAGTGATTTTGCTTCTAGAACTAGCGTATTTTCAAAATTACGTAGATTCTAAATCTAGATCTATTCACTTACTATTTGACAACCGTGTCAGTAAAATGAGGTCACCGCTTCCAGATTCTTAGGTTTTAATTATGTTTGTCATTTTGATCTATTATAAGTAGCATTAAAACAACTGCATCTATTATCAACATTGTTTTTATATGCCAGTTCTAATTATACATTCTGTTCATTACCAATTCTAATGAAATCGTATCAGGCCCTAACACCCTGTTCACCTACACTGACACTACACTTGAATGACGCCACAGACAGTCGTAACTTTAAATTAATGTTCAAAGTACTAAACAATTATAATTAGCCATGTAAATGCTGCAACTATATTAAAAATTGGCATATAGACATATTTTATTAATTATGTTTTTTATATAGACCTTCTATATTTAACTCTGTTATTTTTTTCTTCCCCAGAGTGTTTCTAAAAGCCAGAATTTTAAAGGGGAGGGCGGTCGTTTTTTTTCTCAAGAATAATTATAGAAATAAGCTATAAACTGGTATATTTTGTAAAATTTGACATAATTACAAATAAATGTATGCCTAAGTGACATTTCTGTGTAATTATATCGTTAATTTTGTGAATTTCGTGGATTTTTGGACCTCACTACATTTAGATGTAAAAAAAAATCTCAGTTGAGTGAGTGTGGTTAATCTACATTTTGAACGTGATGTAAATGTCTAGTGCTATTAATTTTTATATTTTTGAATTCCTCGATTGTTAAGCAACAAAATTGATATATAATATGTCAATATTTGTTACTTTGAAAATTGGCGAAAATCGACCCTAAAAGTAGATGCTTGAGGGTTGAATCTGTTTCCTGCCATATTTAGCCATTGATTTAGGTTTATTATTCATTTATCTATAATATTTGACACAAATATAACATAATATACTTCTATTAAAGCCTTGACAATGAGTTAACTTTTTTGTACATTACTAGCCGCGGACGATTTTACGTACCTAAATCGGTAGATTACCAGTTTTTCTCACTAGAGAAGTTTACTTGAGCGCGGACACTTCGTCGGTTTTTGGCTCATTGAAACTTTAATTAGCATGTCTCATGCGAAACCACGGCGCCTGCACATAAACTGTTCATTTATGGCACGCAATCTAAAGAAAAAAACATATCAGGACTGCCCTATTTTTTTTTTTCCCCGTGGTAGCAATTTAATGTTGACATAGATGTAGTTTAAGTGTATTTATATTATTTCAACACCCAAGAATCTAGTCTAGATCTAGATCTAGTACTTGAAAAAAAACAGAACAGTACAGTGTCAGTAGTGGGTCAGGTGATAGTCCTAGATCTAGCAGCAATCTAGCTAAATCAAACTGTCCTATAGTAAATTGTTTTAACAGCTATCTAGCATGCGTGATAGTAAATCTAAGTCTATATTATTCATCCTATGTGGACTTTCAATTTGCTTGAGTGGGGGGGGGGGGGAAAGTGGGAGGAAGAGAGAAGTGAAGACACAGACATCTCATTTCGTGAACTTGGGTTCATTCTATGACGTATGCTTTAGGCCTGCTGAACTCACAGTGACCAGAAAGTATGAATTATTAGTTTTAGTTTAAAAAATAATAAAAATGATCATCAATGAAGAAAACAGTAAACATTCTATTTTTAGGTGTGACAAAAAACAGTCATAAATCTAGCCAAATGTAGTTAGATTGCAGGTTTTGTAACTTGGTATACTTACCATTTATCAATTTTAAAAGCATAGCATGCTGATTGTGTACAAATATAGTCATAAAACACAGTAATATAAAGTTATAATTGCGATGTGCCACACACCCTCAAGAAAGCATGTGTTTAAGCTGTTTATCTCACTTTTCAATAGTAGGCCTAATTAAAATTGCTTTTTAAAATTTTTATTACTTAATGGGTAAGATTAAGCACATGTTTACTAATAAAAAAAAAGTAAATTATGTTTTAATGAAGGTCACAGGTTATGGGCTGACCTGACTTTGGAATTTTTTTCAGTAATAATGACTGCACAGAAAGTTAAAATGTGCTAAATTGGCTTAGTTTACTAGTGTGCTAGCTATTGTTGATACATTTTTAATTTAAAAAATCATTCTGAAATTCTCATCAAAATTCCATAACAACATAAACATGTTATACTCTTACGTTTGAGGCCACATTAACTACAAATTGTTTCAACTTTTTAATTGACTTTACACCAGAGTTCCTCACTAGTGATCAACCTTTTATGCTTTCCTTTTATGATGCAGAATATATCTTCTGTTGTTGTGATTTTTTTCTTGTAATTCTAAATGATATCTTGAGATATTGCATTAAATACCTGATATCATTCCTGGGAGTCGATAGGTCTATAATATATGGCTTATGGTATGAACTTCTCTGACCGAGTGAATGTTGAGTGCATAGGTAAAAAATGTGCTTTATGTTTTCTTCTCCTGTTTAACGTTATTTGATTTTTATGGGCCTATCAGTCCAAATACAAAAAAAATTATAATAATTGTATTAAATAGCTCAATACAGTCTACAGCTCCCGGGCCAGTTTTTTTAAAAACTAATATCTCGCATGCGTGGTAGTATGCTATAATAGAAGCAATACAGACATATAATAGAACACAGGTGACAAATCTTGACAATCTCAGATCGCAATGGTATTGCTATGATGTATGCTATATGCTACACTATTCATATCTTAAACCAATGTGAACTTTCAGTGCTTGCAATCTCAAGTAACTGCCCATATACAATGGCTGTGGTGGCGTTTCATGCCATTGAAGCAATTTACTTTTAATGGTGACTTTCCTTACCTGATTAAACATATTTAACTGCACACCAATTGTTATGACTTACCAAGCTTTTTAAAATGCATTGTTGATTGTAAATTTCAGTCAACAGAGAAGTGAATTTAAAATGGCTGACGAGCTTGATGTTGAAGCCATGCTGGAGGCCCCTTATAAAAAAGAAGTATGTTCTGCTTAAATTTTTACTATTATTTACATTTACTTAAGCCAACCATTTATTTTAAAATGTTTTAGTAACCTTGAATTCATCTTGTTGTGTGCTCTAAAAACAATAAAATTAAATCCTGGCTTTGTTTCTTGATAGGCAAAGCACTCTGTTCTGCAAGCTCCTTTCCTGATGGCTTCATCCACAGTTACATCTTCCTACACATGCTGCATGCTTTTTACTAATTCTGTTAATATATCACATTCTTACCATTTTCAGGCTAACATTGTGGTTAAACTTTGTTAATTGAACTGAGTGAAATCATAAAATCTTACTATAAAGAATATTGGTGGCCTCTAGATAATATTTAATTATATAGAGGTGAAAATTTTGTTTCAAGTAAGTTTTAAATTAAGTTGTTAATAAATTATTAATGCATACTTCTATGGTTGTTTTTCTCTGCCCCTTCCCCAATGCCCCTGTTGCGCTGTGTTCCTGATTACTTCATTTGATGTTTTCGGATATACAGGAAGAAGGAAAAATAGAAAAATCATCATCATCCTCAAGAAAAGAGAAAAAGTAAGTGCTTGTTTGTTTTTATGTGCAGCAATATAGCCCTAATCCTGGGAGTTGCAAAATCCAAGAGTTTAAATTGGACTTCTTACTCCAATTAAAATCTGACACATTCTAGTGACAAACCATGATATTCTGTAGGTAAGTAAAGCAGAACTAAGAATTCTGCTTACCCCCATCTTCCAGAGCTCTGTCACTGTTGAAAAATCAGGAAAATTTGAGGTTCTCTTCAGCTTTTCACTGAAGTTTTTAAATTTTCTCATTTCAGGTGAAGACTTTAAATTGAAAATTGATAGCAAGCCACTACTAGAATCTAATTGGTTTCTTGCAAAGATTCTCGTACATCCCTCTTTAAATATTTGTTTTTGTTTATAGGCACGTCTCTTGGTCGCAAGGAAAACAGGCTTTTTGCAGCCATTTTATCAGTGACTTGAAATAAATATTGTCTTTAAATCTAATTTGATTTCTTGTTGTGTTGGCATAGGTGCCCCTATCTTGTTTTGGAGAACTTTGAAATAGATGCAAACCTGACATGAATGTGTTGCCAGGTATGTGGTCTTAATCCTAGCACACTTAAACCTCTGCAAATATGAATTAACTCAAACGAGGTGCTGATACCAAATTAAAGAAGAACGGTTTTGTAGGAATTATGTGATCCTTGAAGTGAGCTGTTCTTCTACACCTATCCTGAATTTTGCCAACAGAGGATTATATGATGAAAGTGTTATCAGTTTATGCTAAGACTACATATCTCAGTATCATCAGTACCACATTCTAATTATAAAGTATTTGGTGTTTAGTCTCTTCTCTCACACACATTTGCTTCCTTAAGCACCACATTTGTCTTTGATCTGATAGCAGTTTCTAAGGTTTTTGTAATACTGGGGAAATCCATCAGTATCGTTAAATAGATGTTTGTAAATGGTAAACAATGTTGACCTTAACAAATGTATTTAAATGATGTGAGCTATTTATATGCTTTTTTAATGCTATTTTAATTAACAAGTTCTCTTGTATGTATGTGCATATAAAGTGCTCATGTATTGACTATTTGATTATTGAATGTTTTTTTTTTTTTTGTTTACAGGAAAAAGAGAAGTCGGAGCAATAGCCGTGACAGAAGCAAGGGCAGGAAAAGGTGTGTACAAAACAAAGTATTTCATAGTTTTAGAAGGAAGTTAAGTCTTTTTGTTAATCTTAAACTTATTAGACGAAAAATAGGAAACACCTAACAGTAATACTAAATGCTTGTTTTTATCTGCTTCCTAATTAAAATTTGGTTATCATTTAATATTTTGAAAAAATTAATCTTGCCAAAAATTAGGAATTGTTGGCCATATATTTTAGGCATAAAACTTTATTCTTATTGTGGTGATTGGGTAGGGTAAATTGTGTGATATCATTTATGGAGGCTCCAAACCTGTATCCTCATTTCATGCTTACATGTATAAAAAAGTATAATACTCAATCGCACCTCACAGTCCATGGCCAGGTAAAATCATCTGTATCTTGGCATATGAAGAGATAGTTTAGCACTATTCTCATCCACCATTACATTTCTTAACATGAGTCAGGTACCCGTCTGGTGGACTCTGGGATGTAGTACAGACTAGACCCCGGGATCTGAACTAAAGACTTGGGTTAGCAGTCAAACACATAAACACTTGACCAGTCTCATTTAACCACACCTTACCTACTTACATGTACATTATTTTAAAATATTGAATGCACTTAAATTATCAATATTTTTTATAGATCTCGTAGTCGTGAGAGGAGATCGAAAAGTCGAGACAGAACTTCTAAAAGTAAAGATAGAAGGTCGAGAAGTAGAGACAGAAAATCTAGAAGTCGTAGTAGAGATAGAAGACGCAGGGAAAGAGAACGAGACAGGCGCCGCAGTAGAAGTAGAGACAGAGATGCAGATCGAGACAAACGTAAACGAAGTAGATCCCCTAGGCGTAAAAGAAGCAGAAGTCCACTTAGGTATGTATACTCTATGGTGGGCTTGTAAAATTACTAATCTTTAGTGAAAAGAGAAAGAAAAAGCAAAACTTTATTTGCTTTAATTTCCTTTTTTTTTCTTGGGACAGATATTTATACAAGAAATATAGTTGTCATTGAGTTTTTTTTAGTGGAATTTATTTTTAGCACCTTCTCGTTTGTCCTCCTAGATTTTTTGTGTTGCTGTGCCTCTTGTAATTTAAAGGTTTTAGCTAGTCATAATTAGTTAGCTCAACATATCATGACTAACTTCAAAAAATAATCTGAAGTACACATGTAGACATCTGTACCCTTATAAAGTTCATTATATAATATCTCTATAATTTTTAAAGTCCTTATTTATGCAATTCTTAATACTTTATGTCCTCTATTTCAACCATATATGATAGCAAGTTTAATTCAATTGCAATATCAATGGGTAAAAATTAAATTACAAAATTTGTCCACTTAAGAACAGCTTCTAATCATTTTAGCTAAGAAGCTTTTCCCATTATGTTTTTATAAAGACAATTTTCTCCTGCAAAATATATAAAAGAGCAAACAGTTTATTTTTTTACATACATGCTTGCTCTTATTAATAGTAAATTTTCAATTAACTTTTTCAGAACCGAAATTCCACGAGTGGAAAGGCAAAGGTATCCATTCTTTTTTATTTTATTACAATAGATGCCTTATTTTAAGAGGTGGTTGAGAGTAGCATTAATCTGAAAATATTGATAAAATTTGTTTATCCTTAGAGAGCCAGAGCTTACCCCCGAGGAAAGAGATGTTCGGACTGTCTTTTGTATGCAACTGTCAGCACGTATACGACCTAGAGATTTGGAGGAGTTTTTTTCTTCCGTCGGAAAAGTAAATTTTAATAATTTTTGTATTTGCTAATCTTTTCAAAATAAATTTATGGCTAATTAATGTGCCTTTTTATAAATTAAAAGACTTGTGAATATATAATTTGATTTTCCTAGGTGCGAGATGTTCGTCTTATTACAGACAACAAAACTAGACGTTCAAAGGGAATATGCTATGTAGAATTTGCAGATCCAGAGTCTGTGCCTTTAGCCATTGGGTTATCTGGCCAGAAATTGCTTGGTGTTCCTATATTGGTGCAGCCATCACAGGCTGAAAAAAATAGAGCTCAGCCAACATCTACCCCTGTTCCACAAAAGCCAAGTGAAGGTCCAATGAGATTATATGTTGGATCCCTGCACTTCAACATAACAGAAGATATGCTTAGAGGAATATTTGAACCATTTGGGAAGGTTTGTTGTATCTTACTTTTATTTTTAGTCACTTGCTAACCTCTTTGAAATACACGTCAGTTTTATTGGTTAACTTTTACTACTTCTTTCTCTGTTTCCTAAGTTAAATAAAAATTACTGCATAAAAAGTTACATCTGGAACAGCCTGTCTCAGCCAGTATGGCTAGGCAACTGTCTGGACTGTAAATTAGATCTGTCCATTTTAACCATTAATGTCCCATTCATTCTACCAAAACTCCACCCATGACGGCCCGATGTAAGGAGCATAACTCTGTATGATCAAGTGAATAGTTTCACAAAATATTTGTTTTTGTCTAAATGAAATTAAAAATTAAGATTAAAACTACTGCTTAATGTTGGGAATGAACATGGCTTTCCAACAGTATTAAATAGAATATATTATATTTGGTAAAAGTACAGTATAAAAATAAAAAATGTCGGAGAAAATTCAAAACAGGTCATTTTCGGTAGTCAACTTTATTTATTTTTGTCTAAACAACTATGCATCGAATTTAACAGTTAAATATCAATTTGGTTATGTTTAAGATATATAATTCATAAAATACATGCCTAGATACGTTTAGAGGCATTACTTTATTTTATTTTTAATATTAAATCTACTAAAAATAGGACAGATGAGTCTAAAATTTCGAGATAGAAAGAAACTATTATTTTTTATCTTTCAAAAGCGCCATTGCAATTAGAAGGCCGGAAAAGGATGCTGAAACAATCCGACTTCCTGTTTAGTTAAAAATTAGGATTTGTAGGCCAAATTTTAATGAAACAAATTTAATTTTTCTATGCGTATTGAAAGCGGGCGGCAGCGAGCGTTACGGGACATTAACGGTGTCGGGCGGCAGCGGGCGTTACGGGACATTAATGGTTAATATGTTGCAAACAAAAGTAGGTTTAGCTGTTTTCTAGTTATGCTTCAAAAAGTTAGATGGTTTTTTTTGTTGGTAAATATTACCCTTTTAAAATTAATGGTGAATTCCCTAACTGGGAATGGATATGTACAGGAACATAAGGGTTAAAATTAATAAGATAATGTAAATTATCTACTTTTTATTATGTATTTTAACATGTATATTTTGTTGCAGATCATTGACATAAAAATAATGCGAGATCATGAAACACAACGTTCACTTGGATTTGGATTCATTAGTGTGAGTATAGTAATGCTAATTAGATTATTTTCATTTGAACAATAGATTAAATCCTTAATATTAGATAGTGCTGTATGCTAAGTACTATGAAAGGTTGTAGTATTCTTTTTTGATAATAAATTCATTAAAAAAAAATCTTAGTTTAAACCAAATGCTTTTAAAAATTAAAATTTTAAATAAACATATTTAACATGGTAAGATTTCAATTATAATTTTTCTGCATGCAACCAATATTCAAACAAATATACTAAATAACATCTAAATATATAATTACTTTTTATATTATTCAGTTTGCAAATGCTGATGATGCAAAGAAAGCTTTGGATCAACTTAACGGGTTTGAGTTGGCTGGTCGCCCTATGAAAGTTGGCCATGTAACGGAACGTACATCAGAAAATGGGCAACCACCTGGCCAAGGACAGTTGGATACAGATGAAATGGATAGGGCTGGCATTGATCTTGGTGCCACGGGGCGTTTACAGCTTATGGCTAAATTGGCAGAAGGTATGTTGAACTAGAAACTGAAATATTAACAAGGTTAAATATTTAAATTTGTAAAATGTTTGTCAAATCATGAGTGGCATTGCTGTTAACTATGTTAGTGAAAGTTAAATCTTTTTTTTAGGAACTGGTTTCCAGATTCCCCAGTATGCTGCAAATGCTCTTAACAACTTGACTCATGCCGGTACTATTGGTGGTATTCCCATAAATCCTCATGCACCTTTGCCATTACAAGCAGGGCTACAGTCAAACCTTGCTGCAACTCCTGGCTCTGCTGTTGCACAGCACATTCAACTAAATGCACCTCCAATAGCTACACAATGCTTTGTGTTATCAAATATGTTTGAACCTACCACGTAAGTTATTTACATGATTTCATTTGTTTCACTAAAAATTGACCATTAGAAATAAAGCTTATGAAGTAAAAGTAACCCTTTATAGTCAATAGTGAAAAGGAAGTAGAGTTTATCTGTTTCTGTGACCACAGTATATGAAAGGATAAAATGATCTGTACTATGCCCTGCTGCATTTACTTTCCGTAATACTAGCTTGGTGGACTAAGGGAAGTTCTCCAGATACCCAAATTTGACTTTCAGGTTGGCAGTTGAATTCTCACCTACCTGTCCTTTTCTATATTTTAGGAAATATAATGCTGCAATAATAAAATAATTGATAACCGAAATCAATTTACCCCTTTCCTGGAATTATTTTCATTCTTCCTTTTCTTTCCTCTTTTGTCTCTTCTATACCCTTCAGTATTTGGTCAGTGTTTTATTATTTTGTAAATTGTAATATTTTGTCCTGGATTCACTTTGGTGCAGATAGCTAGTGAAAACTACCATAAAACTGAGAACAATATTACTGTAATGCAAATAACATTATAATGCAGAGACTTAGTTTTAAAATGTTTTTCTATATTAATACTTAATAAATTCTATAACAAAATTATTTTTAAAGTGAAACAAGATCAAACTGGGATCAAGAAGTTCGAGATGATGTCATAGATGAATGCAATAAACATGGGGGTGTTCTACACCTTTATGTAGATAAAAATTCTCCTCAAGGAAATGTGTATGTTAAATGCCCCAGTATATCTGCAGCTGTAGCATCTGTAAATGCATTGCATGGACGCTTTTATGCAGGTAAATTGAATCATCTTGAGTCTATGCAGCTTTGATAAAACAGTATTTACTATATACAACGAAAGCATTGAAAATATACTAACAAAGCATCAAATTATTTTTATTTCCAGGACGTGTAATAACAGCTGCATATGTGCCTCTCCCTAACTATCACAGTCTGTTTGCAGACTCTGTGAGAGCAAATCAACTCCTCATGCCATCATCACAAGCATTATCAGCCTCTTATCAAACTGGATTTATGGCCCAACCGCCAATGCGATAGAAAACCACTTTGGCATCTGTTCATTTTTTATTTTGTAAAACACTATCTCAAGATTAAATATTAATTTTTTAATTGGTGTTTAGTAAGCAGAAAGAATATTCATAAAATATTAAGCAAAGGAGATCACTTAATATTAGGAATAGGAATTAAAATAATTATGTGTATTACCATTTGTTTTTGTGTTTGGTGTTTCAATTATCTAATTTGTTATCCAGAATAAAGTTTTTTGTAATATAAAATTAAAATAAAACATGCTCTTAAAATAAATAAAACCACTTTGAGCAGCATTTTAAAAAAAATGTTCTTGAAATGAATGAAAAAAATAAAAAGAAACTTAAATCTAATCCTAATGCGAAATATGACTTTTAATAACATTTTTATAGTGTCTTCTGATTAGTTAAAAAAATTTGCTCAGTAAATTTTTTAACAGAACTCCATTATTTAAATTACCCATTACATAATTATGCCTATGGTTTTGTCACTTCATAATCTCATAGTAAATAGTTTCAATACATGTGAATGCATTGTGCATTTTAAATTGCTGTGCCTGTTATACTAAAATACGATGCTACAAATCTCTAGGGATGTTTTTAAATACTTTTACTCTAGTACTTCGTTGAGGATATTTTACAGCTATTCTCCCAATTAAAAATTCAGGTATATATATATATATGTTTCCAAAGAATAAATTTTCAATCATTTACATACTTGTAAAATATGTTAAATTTGATAACTATTCTTTCATTGCACCGTAAAAAATAATTTATATTAAAAGTCCTAAATACTTGAGTATAAAATTTGATTGTATGTGTAGTTGTTGCCTACAAAATAAGGTTTGAGTATTAAAAATTAAATTTTCTATAAATCCTGGTATCATAGTAACATTTTTAGTACAGTTAATGCTCTTATTATTAAAGAAATTGTGAACTGAAATGTGTACATTTGTAAAATATAATTAGATTGTTGTTCATTTAAACATTTTTTTTTTAATAATCAGCTTTGTGTACATTTAATCATCATTAATACAATTTGTATAACTTCTGAAAACAAATAATTAAATGTATTTCTGTGGTGAGATAAAAAAAATCTTATTAATACTCTAGAACAGTAATAATTCAATTGATTGAATATGTAGAGTACGTTTATTGCTGTCTTGCAACATTACTGGTATTTTTAGAAATGAATCTGATATATACAATTGTTATTAAATGGTACAAAAAGACCAATTTTACACCAAGGATGCTTAAGGTAAATAAATCATTGTAGAACACAACTGAATTGTTCATTTTAAATAGACTTGAAAAGCTAGTTCCAAATGTTTGTTGCCAGTCAGAAAGCATATTTTTCAACCAAAATTAAATATTTCATAACATTTGTGTAATAAGTACAAAATTACTTCAGATTTTATTTAGGATAATATAATAGTAATTTAGCACTTATTTTTAATTTGTATTAGTAGAAATAGGGTGTTGTGGTGATTAAGGATGTTACAGTATTTAATACATACACAATACTACACTATACACCATAGATCACTGATTTTTTTTTATAATGGAAAATAATTGCTCTAACTTATATCGTTTTACTCTCCCTGGCCATTCTGGTTGAATTTAAGGAGAGGTTGAGGGCAGTTTTTAAAAATATATGAATTGATAAATTAATTCTAAATGGCTTTTTGGCGGCTTACTTATATTCGATACAAACATAAAAATGAGTTTAATCGATGGTTCCCAAACGGCTTTCATTTTGCAAATGCAACTATGATTTTATCTTGCCACATTTTTAAAAAGATTTTGTCAAAAAATCAGGATGATAACATAAACTTTTCATGCCCATTATTGTCAGAAAAGGTTCACTTAGTTATTCTTTGCACTTAGTCCTAATCTGCTTTACGTGACCTGCAGTAGTGTTGGTTTCATTCAAAAATCGTCTGTCTCAGTATTGGGATATTCAAGCAAGAATTTTAATAGTTTTAAATTCTTATAATTAAAAGCCTAAATTTCAAAACAAACTATTGTAATGAATCAGTAATCACAATTACAGCACACTATAAATACCTCTTTTAGAAATAAACGTGACTTTAACTTTAAAAAAAAAAGCTTACCTGTATGTTACACAGGGTCACTCTAATTTAAAACCCTCTACCACGTTTACACATATAAGATGCATGATGCGATCCGTCTTTACTTTCTGACATATTCCCGACCAACAAGTACATGATAGTGTGGGTTATACAAATTATAATTCCTACATAAAAAATAATGGACCTGCTGGAGTAGTATTTGAAACCCAAATGTCGACAACCAAACATTAGAAACCATATTAAATCATTTCCAACGCAAAAAGAGCACAAAAAAATCAGTGAGACCATTTATGTTTATCAGGTGTGCTAAAGAAATTTTAAAAATTAAATTAGAAAATGGAGTATCGCCGCTTGTTTTAATAAGTAGACGTACCACAGTCAATATTACTAGATAGGTAGGCCTACTCAGAAAAAATCAAGGTTTGTTAAAAAGACCGTCTAATAAATACCCAATGTTGAGAACTTGCTTAATTTAGAATCAGGCTGAAAATCATTTAAAGACACAAAGGGAGACCACATCACAATTTAACATATTCAGCAAGTTTATGAAGAGAGCAAGAGTTTGTAAGTAAATCCACCCAAATGTTTGAAGTGCCCCTCCTTCCTTTCGGTGAAACATGTCTGAAAGAAACTGATAGCTGGTTGCAACCTTTCGTTGAAATCCAGAGTTTTAAAAGGCCGTTTGAGATGATGAATTAGATCAATTTAGATAGGCTCCAGTTTGCGCGAACCAACAACTGTCATCACCACACAAAACAAACGTGGAAAAGATCAGCTGTCAGCGACACAGAGCAATGGGAATATCAAGGACCCATCTTGGAGGAACCGCCCAAAAATGAGTACGACCATATGCTCCACAACTCCTCCAATATGGGGTCCAGAGGAAGATGACGATGAAGGTAGATCTGGTAAGCCGATGTTTTTTTTTTAAATAACCATAATTAAAAATAAAATGATGCTACTGAATACCTGATGTATTGTTATAAGTGTTTCAGTCATTTCCCCCCCCCCCCAGGGGGATAGAAACTTTCCGGGGGGGGGATCAATGTTAAAAAAATATATTTTCAATAAAATTTGTATTCTCTTCGAGGGGGGGGGGCGTGCTTCGGGGGAGCAGTGCACCCCTCCCGAAGAGATGCCTGAAAGAAACTATGATTGTACTGGCTAAGATATGGCGTATTTAATTAATCGGCATCTCAAACCATATTTTGCTTCGATATTAGTTAGTGAGTGTAATGCATTGTCTCAATTTTATCAAATGCAACCACATTATTATACATTAAATTATATAATTTTGCGAAATATTATCTGCATTTCCGGTTCAGACTTAGCTTTTAGAGTTAGCCTACCGTGTTTTCTTGTAGTGACTTCGCTATACTAACCGAGTGTCCAAGTCATAATTCCAGTTTTATATTATTTGTCTACATTTTAAAGTTTTTTTGGAGTGCTATTTTTAAAGATGCTTATCAAAGTTAAAGTACGTGATGTGTTTGAATTGTATTAACACAATTTTGTTAGATTTCATTTAGATCTAGACGTCTAGATCTAGATTATTTTTATTTTTAGAATAGGCCCTATAAATAAGAAGACTAAAGAAGAAGAATCAAGACAAAATTTCTGAAAATCTAGCTCATCTAGATCTAGATCTCTACCAATCTACATTAATTCAGTTAAAAATCTCATTGAACTTCTGTCTCTCTGAGTCTGTCTGTACTCAAGTGTGCCCTGTGTTAGATCTACTACTCTACTTGTTACTTGTTTGTCTGTAGTTAGTAGTTAGCCATGGTACTTATTACTACCTCTACAGCGGACACACTTGTAAAAGTAAAAGTGACTTAGTCACTTAATTTAGTAATAATTTATTGAACTACATTAAAAACATTTTAGTGAGGTTTAACTCCATTATTATATGTCATTATAATGTATTTTATTCCCTGCTTCACCTTCAGTTGAGCATAATTTATTATATATATTATATAGGCCTAGGCATAAACACAAATGAAACACAAAAGGATGCATCTATTCGGACCCGGGTCCCAATAGACACGACCGCTATTGGGACCCGGGTCCTAATAGCCTCGGCCGCTATTGGGACCAGCCAATAGAATTGCTAGATTTAGTTATACAAAAGTTCTTTTAAGATGCAGAATATTGCTTTTCTGTTTTGATTTTTTTCCCTTGTAATTCTAAATGATATATTGAGATCTTGCTTTAAATACCCGATATCATTACTGACAAATGTTATGATGAGCGGGTGTCGTTAGGTCTATAATATAATTATGGCATATGGTATGAACTTCTATGGCCGAGCGAATGTTGAGCGCGCATGTTAAGATGTGTTATATTTTTTTTTCTGTTAAACGTAATTTGATTTCATATATATATATATATATATATATATATATATATATATATATATATATATATATATATATATATATATATATATATATATATATATATATATATATAGTCCTATATATAATTGTCTAAAATAGCTCATATAGGCTGCAGACTACAGCTCCCGGGCCCGTTTTCTTGAACACGAATATCTCGCATGCGTTGTATTACGCTTTAATAGAAGCAATATGTAACATTTGAACTCACAATGCCCGTTTTTCCCTCTTGCTGGGTTGGGAGGGGGGGGGGGACGACTACGACGACGACAAATCTCGACAAGCTCATAGCAATGGTCTTGCTATGACGTATGCTATACGCCTACACTGTTCACATTTATACCAAAGCGAACACACAGTTAACCTAGGCTACATCGTGTCGGTATTTTTCTTGCGCTGACCAGAAAACGCTAGCGGGCGTTCAATGGATCAGCTATGTTTTTATAATTAGAGTGTTTAAAAACCTAAATCTAGAAAAAATATATAGTCTAAAAAAACAATTAAAAACAGACACTCATGCAATCAACTCAATGAAATGTTAAACTTTGATAAATACACTGTACTTCTCTCAAAAACGAGAGCTTTGATAGGTTCCGATTCCGTAACTAATAGAGAATCGGGGGGAGCTGCGTTCTCCACTCGACCACGACGTCTTACGATAATACCTAATTTTTTAATGATTTTGTATATAGAGCTAAATATAGGGTATTTAGAAATAGCAATGCAAGAACTAAAGCTAGCTAATCCGCATAACTAATTACAATAAAAGACAACAAAATACGAGCAAATACACAAGAAAAATCAAATAAATATAAAAGGTATAATTTTAATACAGGTTGTACAAGTGCTTAACGAACTTAATGCCGGGTCCCAATAGCGGCCGAGGCTATTAGGACCCGGGTCCCAATAGCGGCCGAGGCTATTGGGACCCGGGTCCGAATAGCCACTTCCAACACAAAAACTGTAGGAAAACACTAGATCCAGGCCTATTTCTTGATGAATTTTGTTTAAGTTTTTGATAATTTACTTTTGTCAAAACTTGAGAATTATCCAAATTTATAATAGTATTTAAATTTAAAATAGCTATTGCCCAAGATATGACATATGCTGATAATTAAAGTCAATGTGTACTCCCAGTGAACCCTTGACCATAGCCTATAAGGATTTTTCTCCTGCTGTTGAGAAATTGTGATCCGGTGATCACATGCTATTTAATTGTAACTGTAATGCTTATTTATATTTTTATATTGTATTTTACCTGTTCTAATTAAAACACAGATTCATTTTTAAAAAAAAAGTAGGCACCTGAATAAAATAGGTAAAATGGTGTTTTACCACATTTGACTACATCACTTAGCCATTAGCCTATTATATAGTATTTAACATAATGACTTAAGGATTACACTTTGATAATAAGACTAAATAATTATAATTTGATAATCAGACCTATTTAGTAAACAAAGTCAAGATCTAGGACAGATATGAAAATGTATTTTAATTTCAAATATTTCTTTTATTTCAGACTTTGACCGGTAAAGAGGTGAGTATTAATGATTAAAGCTGTAAAAAAAAATTTAAGTAGATATAACTAGGATTAAATTATTTTTGATATGGAAGGACATGATATATCAGTAACCTAGTTGAAATTGAAAATATTTCTGAATTTATTTACAATCATTGTTTCAGATTGAAATTGACATTGAACCAACAGACAAGGTAAAGTGGAAATGTTAAAAATGCTAAAAATTAGTCTACCTTTGCTGCTTGTCCACTATTTTTTATATAATGATTTTATCATAATAATGTACACACGTTAACTTGTGAGTAAGAGTTGGAATGTAAATATAAATAAAACTACATTTCTTTTAATATTCATATTTATGATTATTATTAGTATTAAAACTTAGAGCTATGTTTTATAGAACAGTTTATAGTTTTTTTATATTTTTATTTCTATACATTTTTATATAATGTTTTTATTTACATTCTAACAAAGGTTGAAAGAATCAAAGAACGAGTGGAAGAAAAGGAAGGCATTCCACCTCAACAGCAGCGACTTATTTTCAGTGGCAAACAAATGTAAGTAGCCCATAATAGACTGAATGGACACTCATCATTTTTGTGTAGTAAAGTTACCCTTTTGAATCTAGCTGTTCATGAGAAAAATGAAGTAGAGTTTACCTTTGCACTATCCCAGGCCACCTTACTTTCCCTAATGTGAGTCATGTACCCATCAGAGCTGGGTGGACTTTGTGACCGAATCGATCCTGAGATCTGAACTTGACTTTTGTGTTACCATTTTGTTTTAATTTTCTATTCATGTGGATTTTTAACAAAATGTCATTGAAAAATGCATCCTCATTTTGCGTGGACGTGTAGGAAGCGACATTCGTTTCTGCCTAAACTGTAAAGGGTTAAACAATGAATCTTAAGGTTTTGTTATTAACCAGCTATTGGTTGCATGATGATGAATTGCACCATCAATTCCTCTATATAAAAGCTTTAGTTGGCAACACTGTTCTGCTCCTTAATAGTTTCCTACTACAGATTGAGGCATCTTTGAAGTTTCCCTGGTCTTTATATAAAGTTGCTGATGGCACAAATAAAATATCCATGTTAGCCATACATTAGCTTGATATATTGATAAAAACATGGGGTAGGAGTAGAATACACATTTTATTTAGTAATGAACTGTTATTATTTTTTTCATGTGATCCAGGAATGATGAAAAAACAGCAAGTGATTATAAAGTGGCTGGAGGATCTGTCTTACATCTTGTACTTGCACTAAGAGGAGGATGTCTCTGAAAAATGAAAGAAATGTTTAACAAATAAATTTAAAATTAAATGCTTCATCAGTCACAGAATTTAATGTTCAAACAAGATTTGGTTGCTTTAAAATGATCCTTAAAAATGTTAAGTTTTTAGTACTGCACTTTGAAACTGTTAAAATGTAAAAAAAAATACCTTTTTTTTTTTACCTCAAGCCATAATGATTTCTTTAGAAAAAGATTTTATACAGTACTAAAACGTCTAAACTGGCTATTAAATGATGTAATATAGACTGTACAAAATATTTTTGAACTTTTTTTATTGTCAGTGTGAAATCAACAAAGTTGAATGGATGACTACATTATTATAAACACAATTATTATTTATTTTCTTCTGTTTTATATACTGACAAAAAGCATTGATAAAAAAGAAAAATATTTTCCAATTACTTTATAAGAACTAAAACTATCAAAACAAGAAAGAATTTTATGCTCACAAATTCCAGAAATGAATTAATTATAAAATTTTCACATTTATTTAGCTCTCAATACATCATCTTGTAATGATTTATTCATCACAAACTAGAAATAAATATAATACAGAAAACCTTTTTCTTATTAGGTATGATTAGATAATATTGAAGTGATTGTTTGTTTGTTTATTTTTGCTTATTTTCCTTTTAAATGTTTCATTTAACTGAATAAATGACTGTTTAAATAAAATTGTAATTCTTGTACACTTATTTTTAAAAAGAATTAATTATCAGAAAAAAAATCACTTGTCTGATTAAAAAAAGCTCATAATTTAGAAGTAATAATTATATAAATAATTTGGCAGAGAAAGCTGCTCTGAATATCATTTGAGCAAAAGTTTGAGTTACCAGTTAAAAGCATCTTCATAAGTTTTGTCTAAAGCTCCAATAGTTAAATAAGATACTACAGTGGAAAAATAATTGTTCATTATACCCTCATAATCAAATAGCCTAACAAGGCCAAAGAGTGACACAGCAGGTTTGATCTTTTGACTTGAATTAGGAAAGATAACTGTACAAGTACAAATGATCTGAAACCAACTCTCCTATTAAGACTTAATATTTTTTTACATGTGGTATAATCTAATCTACTTGGCTCCTAACTCGTGATTTCTTTTATTGGCTGATCAGAAACACTTCAGCCATGTTTATTTGAATGTCTTTCAACTCTCAGCAGTTTTTCAATATATCATTCTGCATCAAAACAACTTTTGGGGGGGGGGGGGGGGTTATCGTCCTTAACTACCTACTGATAGTGTTTTAAAGCAAATATTTTCAGTGGCAGCATTGGAACTGTCGAATTCACAAATTATGAATTACTGAAAAGTGTAAAATAAAACAACTAAATAGCGGCATACGATACGCCGCGGGTCGGCTCGTTATTTAAATTTAGTGTCCTTGGCATGTGTTTGTTTGATTTACTTTTTTTTATTATTACTAGTGCGACTGAGTAGTACTATTTTAAATATAGAGTCTATATAGAATCTAGATAAAAAGTCTAGATCTATAAAAATTAGACCGAGCGGTGGACAGACACGAAAACTGCTAGGCCAGGCCCAGACTACGTGCCATTTTGACGCTAAGAAACAAAATTCTAAATTTAGAACTACACTAGTCTAGCTAGCAGTTTAATTTTTAAGTAAAATGGCCGTCTGTGTTGCAGTCATAGCCAAAGAGGTAAGCTGAAACCTTTAGGCTTACTTTTGATTAAAATTATCACTCTATTTCATCTCTAAATCTAGATTGAACTGGATTTTCACAACTCTAAAAACAAAACGGTAATCTATCGTATTAGACATGCATTAGGTACGTAAAATAAAATCGGCCTAAAATTTAAATCGAAGTGACTACTCGACTCGGGGAAGATTTTTCGGTAATCTATCGGTTTGGGTACGTAAAATCGCCCGCGGCTATTTATGTACGAAAACGTTACCTCATTGTCAAGGCATTAATAGATGTTTATTGTCATACTTTTGTGTCAAATGTTATAGATAAATGAATAATAAACCTAAATCAATTGCTAAATATATCGATATAGGCCAGAAATTAACTTTAAACAGCAGTATCTGAGAGCAAGATTTGCTATATAAACAGCAGCCATTTGTAAAATAGAGTGGCTTCCCCCTGAATCTGGCGCTAAAAGCTTATAAAAATAAAACTTAGACAAGATGGCTGCTATAGTAAATGAGCATGGTTGCATCTGTTGGAAACATCGCTAGTCTTCATTTATTACGGAAAAGTTTTAATTCAATTGTTTAAAAACAGGTACATAAATGAATCAAGGAAACATTTTTGAATTTTTTAAAACATAAATCCTCCTCAAAATGTGAAATAATTATTAAAATTTAAGGAGTCACCTGTTTTTCACATTACAAATCGCGGGCGATTTTACGTACCCAAAACGATAGATTACCGATTTTTCTCCCCAACGTCTCCACTTAGTCGGCAAAAGATAGCTCTGCGCATGCGCAGTGACCGAGGGTTAGGGGTAGGATTAGGGTTAGAGTTAGGGTTAGGGGATGTTTATAGATACCAGTGTCCAATAATGGAATCTTCTTTAAAAAAGGGGTGTTGGGTTGTTACTGTTAGTAGAGGAGCTTACACTTTTCGGACACACATAGCGAAAAAACGCAACGTAAAAATTCCATGCGGTCTCATTCAGTAACCGCTTAACATAGAAAACAAAAAAAAGTATCATATCTATCCGCAACCATTCTACTTTAATAATGTGTGTGTCATTTTTTATTCATACGCATAGAACTTAAGCTATTCTTGTTATAGTGACTGGGGGGTCTTAACGTGTGTTCGAACACATGTAATACAGTTTTACATGTGTTCGGACACCTTTACCCGTCATCGGACATAGCACTTTTTGTTCATTTAGAATAATTTAAAGTCAATTTAATGAATAAAAACATATATTATATGCATTTATATTGTGTTATTGATTGTTTGTGAGGTAATTTTAATAGTATAAAACCTTTTTCCCACACTCCCAAAGTTCATCCCATTCAGCCATTGCGGCTCGCGCAGTACGCTGCTAAGCCAGCCAGGTCACATGATTCCCCCTCCTCTTTTGCATTCCACTGCCTTCTTGACCTTATTTTGACCCTTTCCCTTCAATAACCAGCCCCTTTTATGCTCTAAATTCTTATTTAATAATATTTTTGTGTTGCTGTCCGATCCCATGTAAGGCCAAATAAGTTAGCGAACACCCCTTTTTTATTGTTCAAGCACGAAAAAACCCATTAACCTTGACATTTACGATGTTCCATACATATATAGAAGCTATTTATAGTGTAACCTTTTAGCTAAGCAGTGATTGGTTCAAGTTTTGCCCCTAAGTCCAACCCTAGGTCACTTCATCCGGCTGGTGTAAAAATAGAAATGTGCGTACCATGCAACGTTAAAAAATTTCTAAAAATAATTCTTGAGAAAGGAAACGGAAGTACTTGACACGGAAGTGTTCATAAATGAACAGTTTACGTGCAGGCGCCGTGGTTTCGCGTGAGACATGCTAATTAAAGTTTCTATGAGCCAAAAACCGACGAAGTGTTCGGTCCTACGTAATTTTTGGTGTGTGTCCGAAAAGTGTAAACTCCTCTAGTTATTATTGTAATCTCGACTAATTTTATGGTTAGAAATTAGCCCAGGGTTAGGCGTATGGTTGGACCAGGGTTGGGGTTAGGGTTAGGGACACTGGTTAGCATTGACATTGGTCATTAGCCAGCCATGTGTGTATTTAGTTAAGTACCAGTAACCTAACACCCCTTTTTTAAAGAAGATTCCATTATCAGACACCGGTGTAAACATTCTCCTGGGTTAGGGATAGGATTAGATTAGGGTTAGGGATAGGATTGATTAGGGTTGGTGCTAGGGTTCTGCGGTTGTAAACACACGCATGCGCAGTACCATCGAAAACATCCCAGCGAAGGCAAGTCGTAGTTTCTCTCTATTGCGCATGCGTATCGCAAGCGTATCTTGTTCCGGCTAGCATCAGCCAATTTAAATAGGTAATGTGAAAAAAAGAAAAAGACAAAAAAAAAGGTGACATTAATTAGTAATTAATCATTAAATTAAAAATTAAATAATCGACAAAGGTATTTGAGAGGCCCATTAATTAATTTGAAAATCTTGCACGGCATAGTTACAATTAATATGGTTATAAAATTCTGTCTGTCTGTTTTTTTTCGGACATTACTAAAGATAATAGATTGGATGTATTTGATGTTTTTAAGGGGGTCGGCGTGGTCGAGTCGGTAAAGCTCATGGTTGCTAAACCAAAAAGTCTCGAGTTCGAACCCTCGGGCAGATTAGGCTTGATAGCTGGGGACAGCCACTCTTCACTGAGAGACAACACCAAAATCAAACAACTGCTGCCTTGTAGAATGTAGTTTGTTCTTGGTTGGACAAAGGCTATGGAAGCAAATCCAAAAAAAAAGCAGGCTGAAATCGGAGTCAATGGCCCATTACCAGTTGACACGTATACTTAATTTTGTTTGGGGGGAATAACATACCTGTGTGAATAAACATATTCAAGAATGAAATAGTGAAGAACAAACTTGTCCCATGATAATCTCAGGTCACTGTTGATGTTAGCGGCATCAGATCTAAAGCCAGAAATGTCTGCTATTCTGGCATCCAGGAATAAATGTCACCATTCACACTAATACAGGTGTTCATGTGTTGTGTATCAATGTGTTATTAAAAAATAACTGAATAAAATAATATTAAATAAGTAATTAAAACCAGCATTTGTGTTTTGATTCTTTTTTATTTGGACCTCGTGTTGTTGGCCCTCGAACAGCAATTTGAAAGTTAATGCAGGCCTGCGTCTGAACAGTTTGGAGACCCCTGCTTTAGACTACAAGACTGTGATTTTTAGTCTTTAATTCATTCTTAAGATATTTCTTAACTAAGCCTAACTATTAGTAGAAGCAGATCTATTTTTTAATTTATTATATTATTTAAAAAATACATTCTTGAAATTTTGAGAGTAATCTAGAATCCCAGATCTGACCCAGCATAGTTAAGTAATGTGAATTAATTAATTAGAATTTGTAGGCATTACAAAATAAACATAATTGTTTATGGCTTATTAGAATGTATCAATATATTTAATAATAAATAACATTTACAGGTCCCAAGTTAAGTACTTAAGTAGTACTTGCTGTTTGTAGAATATTTTTTGTTTTATTAGTAAAACTGTGTTAACTTATTTTATTTCAGAATTATCCACTTTTCATAAAAACAGTCGCAACTGAAAATGAATTGAAGTTTTATTACACTGTACACACCTCACTGGATGTAGTTGAAGAAAAAATTAGTTCAGTTGGCAAAAATGTAAATGATTTAAGAGAGCTATACTTGGGCCTTCTATACCCTACTGAAGATTACAAAGTGTATCCTTTATATTTTATACATTTTAGTTTGGTTGACTGCATTTTATTAAAATATGAGTTCACATTTAGTCACGACAATTTTTATATTTTTTACTTTTTATTTTCAAGACCCATCTTTGAATCTTTGTTAGAGTATGGGAATAGTTGTCTAGGTTAGAAGTCTAGCTGGACTTTCTTTTTTTCAGCTTTATTAGTGGACTTTAAATAATATGCAGTGGTACTTAAAAAATGTACAGTGGTACCTCAAGATACAAATTTTTTTGGTTTAGTAACCTTGCTCATATGTCATTTTGCTCATATTTTTCAGTTCCAGACCCCAAAATGGCATTCTAGTTGTTTTTATTAAGTATTGTTAGGAAGTGGTTGTAATCTCAAAACAATGTGTATATTTCCTCTCAGCATTGATTATTTAGCTTCAATTTGTAGGCATACACATTTTTAGAATTTTTGAACTATGTTAATTTTTTTTAATAGTACAAATGGCATTAATACTATAATTTTTTAATGCATTATATTTATATTGTGGTTATTAAGGTTATGGGTAAGGGTTAGGAAATAGCTTAATGATTTTAATCAGAGCAAATATTAAGAAATAAACATCTTTTGGAGCATCTGTTTGCAATGTAGGTTGTTTTTTTAACCTCGCTAATTTCTTGTTATGATAGAGGAAATTAACAATGCTCTCACTCTCATTTCCTCTCAACTAAAAGAGGATATAAGCAGTGTTTATTTTATTGACAGACTGGGTCTTGGCCTTTTTTTTTGTTACTGATTTTCATTTGCTGGTTATAAAAAAAAAATGTGTCTAAGGTTCCACATTTCTGAAATTTTACTCTACATTTTATATTTTTAAAAACTCATGTTATTAGGGCACATATGTAAAGGTACTACTGTATTTCTTTTTTGTCCCTCCCTGAAAAAATAATTAATAAAATACAAGATAAAGCAGTTATTAGCTCATGGTGTTTTAAGAGTTGGTGGATAATTTAAAGTAAAGAATCCAGACACATAATTTTAATATTTAAAATTAAACTATATTGTGTAATGTAGTTTAAAAAATAAAAACATGGATACATTTAAAGAACAAAATTTATTTAAATTTTTATTCATTGACTCAACATCTGCTTTATTTTAAATGTTATTACATTTTTGCTGTAGAATAGAATAATCCAGGAGTATCTAGATACTATTACTAAATACTATGATAAGTAACATGAAACCTTAACATGAAAAATGTAGTTATGGCTATGTAACAAATACAAAAGTGAAATTTGTGATTGTTGTAGATTCTTTGAATGCATCTCTCAGAGACAATGAGATTAGAACAGTAAGTACATGTGTTTGTTTTTCAAGTAGTATAATTAAAATATTTAAAAAAAAATTAATAACTCCTATACCAAACCACTAAACTCAGTTGATTGCATTACATAATATCTGGCAACCATGGCAAATTATGCCTCGAAACTAACACTTAACATGTCATAATTTTACGAAGTATGACATTTATTTCATCAGTATTAAATAAGAAAACCCTATCAAGATTGTTTCTTTCAATTTTCATCATGTGTGTAGTAAAATACTTCCAATATCAAATCTGATAAAATAATAGGATACAGAACTACCTTAATCATATTTTATATTTATAACTCGCTACCACTTAAAATCCAGTTACAATTTTTTTTAAACTCAGATGTTCAAAAAGCTACATAATGCTTATGTTGATATGCTGTGCAATCCATTTTACAAGCCTGGAGAAAATATAACATCAAAGTAAGAACTTGCCTGTATTATATTGTTTGCTTGAGTTTTAACACATTTTAAATTTACCTAGCAACTGTATTTAAAGTTAAGAAAGCTTAAAATAATGCAATAAAAATGTATATTGTATTAACATTTACATTCATATAGGACATAGTGCTTTCTGGTTATTGCACATCTGGGAGATGTAGCTTGTATAATGTACATGTCTGACTGTTATTTACCTGACATTTCTGACAGTGGTGATATAGGAGTTTGTAGAACACCAATGTGGCTAAACTATAATACTAAAAACAATGTCTGTGTATAATGCACTACTCACAACGATGGAACCATATTAATTAAATTTACCATGAAGTTTTCTTTTTTAAAAAATAGGATAAACTAGCATTACAAATACAAGATTGATAGTGAATTCAACGTTTCTCGAGTAGTAGTAGCTGTCGGATGCATGCTTTAAATTATTATTTAGATATTAAAAAACTTCCTTTCACATATTGATATACATCTTTAGTTTTAAAAATTATTGTAATACATTTTTTTTTAAATTTCAGAGTATTTGAAAATGTGGTAACAGCTATGTTGCAACAGGATTAAGACTATTTTTATGATCCTTCCAAGTGATTATATGACATAAATGATTCCCAATAAAAAATCAGTGCAATATGTAAGATTGTACACTGTTATTATCATTCCTTAAACAATATTCTTAACTCATTAGTTAAGAAAATGTACTTTGGTTATGTAAATGTTTGTAATTTCATTTTAATGCAATGTGTAACTTTGTATTGTAGATGTGACTTGCCAAGGTGGCTTTAGATTTATGTAATTGTGTAAATAAAATCTTGAAATCATGTATCTTCTCAGTTGAATTGTGCCAGACTGATCTAATTATGCAGTTGGACATTAACAATATCATGTATAGATATCCATTTTTCACTTGCATTAATTTATAAAACACAATAAGCATATTATTATACTTAAATTAGCCATAAAATCCCCCCCCCCCCAATTTCCTTTTTAGGGTTCTACATTGCAGCACCACTACAAAATCTGCATAAAATAACACAATTTTTCAATTCTTGCTAAAAGTATGGTATGTGACAACTTATATGCAAGAATTTGTTCTTAATAAAGACCTATACATGTATAGACATCCAGGTGGATGTGATTTATGTTCTCCTACACAAGAATAAATAGGTTTGTAAAAAAAAAAAAAGAAGTGGTTCTGAAAGATAAAAAAGCAAAAATATCAGATGTATAATTTTGACTAGTGTCCAGCCATTTTGAACTTCAGATTTATTTGATATTTATGTACAACGCCATTTAATAAAAACAAACATTCACATCTAAGAAACAAACCAACAGAGTAGGTCTAAAGAATTTAATGACTCACTGATACACTAGCAAATTCAATAATCATTAACAGTGAAATTTTGAACCAACCACACGAATTCTCACACATTTGGAATGAAATTCAACATTTTCCCAATAATTTGGCTAACATAGTCAAAATAACTTAATTTTACCAAACATGATGGAATATGTACCATCCAAATAAAAAATGCTTGTGAAACATCCTAAAATGTCCACTGATTCTATTAAAACAAACTACACATTCCTTGTAAATTATTTAAACACAACTTGTACAACAGCTAATTCTCAAAGTGTTTTCAGTCACATTGATTACCAAAATGATCAACTATGTCAGTACAGCTGTAAATATGAATTATTTAGTGGACAATTATTTCACCCAAAAGCAATTCACACACCATTTGGTCACAAATAAAAGATTGACTTTAAAAAGTACAATAAGTAATTAAAATTAGATACATTCTGAAACATTTTTAAAACAATATCAAGAATGGTTCCTATTTTCTTCACAATCAGAAACATGAAAATGAGCCTCCATTATGTAAATGGATATGAATAATCCACATCACTAAGATAAATATGCAATTATATGTTAAATGAAAATGGCAAACATTGACAAAGTAATTCTGTGAAATCTAGAAATTATCAATTTCTACTCTTCACCTGACCCTGTAGATCTCAGATTTCGTCTTTGCCTTGGTGACTGTTTGGGAGAACGCCTTGGTGATTTGTCTGTCATTTTAAAAAAATTACATGTACCATGGGCATGGAATAAATTTTTTAAACCCTCCCCCCACACTCTATTTGCTTAAATAATAACATGGCTACTATATTTGCTACTAGGTAACTTTTAATTTAATGCTTACACTACAGAAAATGTATAATTTGATGTCACATCAGAATTTATTATGCCTTAGTAACAGTAACTTTTAAAACAAACTCTGCTTCTACACAATTAGCTTTATGGATTATGTATGAAGCATTCTACACACAGCTTGACATAAGATACAAGCCATGCTCTAGTGCTGCTTTTAATTTAGCAAGCCCTCAGGAAGGTCATACCAATTGGGTATAATCTGCTGTTTCCTTGCAAATTAATAGTCCGATTTAACTTCTAAAAAATTAAATACTATACTAATTACAAAATCAATTTAACCATTAATGTCCCGTAACGCCCGCTGCCGCCCGACACCGTTAATGTCCCGTAACGCCCGCTGCCGCCCCCGCTTACAATACGCATAGAAAAATCAAATTTGTTTCATTAAAATTTGGCCTACAAATCCTAATTTTTAACTAAACAGGAAGTCGGATAGTTTCAGCATCCTCCTTTTCCGGTCTTCTAATTTCAATGGCGCTTTTGAAAGATAAAAAAGAATAGTTTCTTTCTATCTCGAAATTTTAGACTCATCTGTCCTATTTTTAGTAGATTTAATATTAAAAATTAAATAAAATAATGCCTCTAAACGTATCTAGGCATGTATTTTATGAATTATATATCTTAAACATAACCAAATTGATATTTAACTGTTAAATTCGATGCATAGTTGTTTAGACAAAAATAAAGTTAACTACCGAAAATGACCTGTTTTGAATTTTCTCCGACATTTTTTATTTTTATACTGTACTTGTACTGAATATAATATATTCTATTTAATACTGTTGGAAAGCCAGGTTTATTATCAACATTAAGCAGTAGTTTTTATCTTAATTTTCAATTTCATTTAGACAAAAACAAATATTTTGTGAAACTATTCACTTGATCATACAGAGTTATGCTCCTTACATTGGGAGCATAGAAAAATTAAATTTGTTTCATTAAAATTTGGCCTACAAATCCTAATTTTTAACTAAACAGGAAGTCGGATAGTTTCAGCATCCTCCTTTTCCGGTCTTCTAATTTCAATGGCGCTTTTGAAAGATAAAAAAGAATAGTTTCTTTCTATCTCGAAATTTTAGACTCATCTGTCCTATTTTTAGTAGATTTAATATTAAAAATTAAATAAAATAATGCCTCTAAACGTATCTAGGCATGTATTTTATGAATTATATATCTTAAACATAACCAAATTGATATTTAACTGTTAAATTCGATGCATAGTTGTTTAGACAAAAATAAAGTTAGCTACCGAAAATGACCTGTTTTGAATTTTCTCCGACATTTTTTATTTTTATACTGTACTTGTACTGAATATAATATATTCTATTTAATACTGTTGGAAAGCCAGGTTTATTATCAACATTAAGCAGTAGTTTTTATCTTAATTTTCAATTTCATTTAGACAAAAACAAATATTTTGTGAAACTATTCACTTGATCATACAGAGTTATGCTCCTTACATTGGGCCGTCATGGGTGGAGTTTTGGTAGAATGAATGGGACATTAATGGTTAATGGGCCGATCGAAAAAAAAAAAAACCAACTCAGAAGTTGCCAAAATGTAAGGGTTATTACAGTGGGATTAGTAGCAACCATAGGGACCTAGAACTTGAAATGATTACCATAAGAAAATCAATATTGAAGGGCCAAAACAGGACTTTTGCAGAAGCACAGTTCAAGCCCCAAATTGTTAAAATAGAAAAATTAAATTTAAATGTGCCTCCCCCCCTACTGTCAAAGTTTAAAGTTTTTTTACGGCAAATAAAACAACTTACTTAATCCTTGCAATGTCTCTTTTGGAAGCCAATCATAATCAACATCTGTATTTTGAGTACCCATTTCTACTGGTTGTCTAGGCTTAGAAAGGCGTTTTCGCTGCAATTTAAAATGATTAATAAATGTATATTATAAAATAAAAAAAATTAGAAATGAGTGCTTATTAAATTACTTTGTAACTTTATTAGTCTATTTTACTCCACTGACATACAGGGGTGTAAAATTGTCATAATCTTCATTAACACTAGCCTAGCACCACAATTAATTAGGTTTTCAAACATGAAAATATCAGCCCACGAAGCTAATTAGATTACACACATAGAATACCAATAACCATAATTGTTAGCAGCACTACAAACAACAGGATAAAAATCAAGTCTAGTCAAGTGCTGAAATTTACTGTAGCAAGCCCTCAGGAAAACAATACCATGGACAGGGTACCATTTGCTGTTTCCTTGCACATACTGTTCTTACTCACCCCAAAATTAGAGACAAGCTGTTGAGCTCCAACAAGCAGTAAAATAATAATAGCTGCCAAAAAGACATACAAGAAAAATCTGAAAAAGAAAAAAATTCCTTTAAAAATAAACAAAATATACAAAAAAAAAAAAGCATTAATAAAATCAATGTAGGCAAGCCTTTATCCCAAGAATTCCTGTCAGAATTCTTAGGTCAAACAGACCTCCTCATTGTGTAGCAAGTAATTTAAAAAACAGCACACAATAGCATGTTGCAATGTTTTAAAAACTTGCAAAAGACCAAAGTGAAAAACAACCTATGCTGAATTATTTTTTTTACTAGTCTGACCAGTTCCATATGTCACAAAAAGTAATCCTTGTTGAAAGTTACTACTTACGTTTCACCATCAAGCCCTTCATCAGGATCAACAACTTGAATAGTTTCATTAAAAACTGCATTCTGATAAACAATGCCATTCTGTAAATACAAGATTGTCATAAGTGAAAATCAACATCATTTATTGCCTGAAAATAGCAAATATTTTAAAATTCAAAAGGGCCACAACTAAAAACTTACAGAATCCTTGTAATTTAGAGTAACTGTTAATCCAAATGGCCGTGCACTGAATGCTTCATTTGGTACGAAACCATACTCAAAGGTTGCTTGTCTTTTGGGTTCAACAACTGCATTGTAAGCCACAGTAGTAAACTGGAAAAAGAAATAACAGACATTGAGACTTTTAAGTTGCTAAAAACACACATGTTCAACAGTGTATGATGCACTAACCACAAAACTAGTGAATCTTTGACCCAATTTTATAACTATTACAATTAAAATAATAGATTTTGGAAAAAAATAAAACACCAAAAGCTCTGAGTTTAGCTATTGACAGTGCAAATGGGATACCTAGAAATTATGTCTTTAAAAGATTTATTCATAACAATAAAAATGTTTTCTTACCAACTTATTTAATAATTTACAACAAGTATAAAGGTCTTACATTTTGTAAAAAGAAACTGTAATCTTGAGGATATCTAAATGAAGCCTCCATGCTATCGACTAAAAAGTCCAAATTGCCTTTATTGGTGAAACCAACCAGTATTCTAACTTGTTTTCCAGCAGGCAGTTCTTAAAGAGGAATAAAAATTGGATCAGACTAAAATAATGAACTGAAAAAAAAAAAACAGTTGCATGAATAAATAAGTATATAAACAGATACAAACAAAAAATATAATAAGACTACTAACCTAGAGGATTACCAGGTTTGGTAAAGAGAATGAACGTGTCAGCATCTGGAGAAGGCTTGAGAGAAACACTTTCTTCACTTGTTTCCTCTTCCTTTTGAAAATATTAGATGAGCAACAAGTAAATAAAAAAAACTGTGGTTAATAAACAAGAACAAGGTTTAAACGTGCATTTATAAATAAAACTGATACCTTTTCGGTTTCCACCACAGGAGTTTCTTCTTCCGTATCATCCTCACCAACTGCCTCAGTTTCTACAGTAGCTTCATCATCTTCACCTTCTAAGACATCTTGTGCAAAGGCAAGATTGCTCCCCCCTGAAAAAAAAAAAGAATGCACTTAGTAACTGTGAATATATGCCCCAATAAAAGTATTTTAATTTATAGATAATGTATGAAGCATTCTACACACAGCTTGATATGAGATACAAGCCATGCTCTAGTGCTGCTGTTTAATTTAGCAAGCCCTCAGGAAGGTCATACCAATTGGGTATAATCTGCTGTTTCCTTGCAAATCGGCAGTCCATTAAAAACAAGGAAGAAAAAACATGTAAACACTGATCAAGATTAAGAGTAGCCAGCATGCCCATTAGATTTGATGATTTTACTTAGATATTCCAAACCAAATAAGTATTTTCAGTAGAATAAAAATGAAGTATTTTTCTGATTAATTACCCGAACAGCAGTTTAGTACCAAAAAATAAATAAAACAACCACCAGCAACCAATATAATGTTGCATTGTTCTGCTAGAATGTTTATTTTGGAATACACCAAATACACATATGCCAATGTTATGCAGCTAACAATATCCATAATGGTTAACCCCATCCCTAGTCCTGCCATTATTATTTAATATTTACCATATGCTAAGCCCTGATTTCTAACTATAAAACTAGACAGGATTACAATACTACCAACATACCTATAGATCTAGTATTATCTGAAGAGTTCTTGTCGACAGAAAATAACTCAAGTACTAGACTTCTAGATTCCTAGTAAAACTACTAATAGACACTACTATGACAGCTAGATCTAATAGTTTTGTGTAGAAAAGAAAGTAGGGCCTACACGAGCCAACAGTGTGTAAAGAAGTTTTCATTGTTATAAACTACTTCTAGATATCTAGTAGATCTATATAATATAATGGATAAATGCCAGCTGACATACACAACCTAAACAGCCAAACACAAAAGAACATAATTTAAAAAGCTATCTAATATTAATTTTTATATTTCATTTTCAAGTTCTGCTGGCTGCTCACTCATTTCAGAGACAGGTTGTAGATCTAGAAATAATCATTTAAGATCTAGAATCTGTGTACTTATGAATAGGTCTATAACAATACAAGTTGACGGACTGCACAGATAATCTAAACAATGCAATAATTAAAACAAATTTAATGTACACATTTCAAAAGCAAGAATAAGAAATATTGACAGGTGAATACAAATATTTGCCACGTATATAGCGTTAATAGTTAATAAACAAAAGATCCAATGTTTAAAATATTTACCATGGTCGACAAAAACTACTGTTGTTGGAATAATAAGTAGTAGAAGAAGAAGAAAGTTTCCAAATATTTTCGCCATTTCTTAGGCGAAAATGTTAAATATCAAATATGATGGTTGCGGATACCGGTAGAAAATAAATTTCAAGCTACATCAACAACGGCAGATACCGGAACTTAACATCAACGGAAACAAACCCTTCATCGTAAAGTAGATGATGTTTCATTGGCAGAAGGTTTTAACAAAAAGCCAATGAAATTCTAGTTCACAACTTTGTTGTACTCACTCAGGGAAGATGTTATCCAGCAAGTTGCAGACATTCCCCCGGCAATAGTGGTTTTATTTTGAAAACAATCATTTCATGCGTCATAACAGGTGCTTGCACGATTAAAAAAGAGTAATTAGATCTTAAGCTCTAGTGTTCCTCATCAGCGTTAAAAAAATAAAGTCCAGCCACATTTATTATTAAGCAACCAAAATAAAAACAAAGGGAACAACAAGCGAGAGCGCTCTTTCAGTCTTTCACTCACTTCACTACTCAATCACAGTACTAAGAACTGTGAGTCAGTGTGTGAAGTGTAAGTGTAGATAGTGTAGTGGTCAGTCTTTCCATTGACTACTTAACACATACTGGTCTACTACATCTTCTTCTAGGTCTAGGTCAAAATTTTGCCTACTCATCATTCATGATAATAAAAACAAAATAATATCATATTAGTTATTTATTACATATGATTTTATGATAGGCCCTAGCCTATTAAATTTATTTATTCTGGTTATAGATCTAGTATTTATAGGCCTAGGCATAGATCTATTATTTTATTCTATTAATAATTTTAATTTAATATTAGGGCCTATTAATTTTAATATTATTCCTAGATTCATCATTCTAGATCTATGTGTACTACTAGTTAAGATGATTAATTATATTATTACTTAAGTACTTACATGTCAACCAAGTGTACTTTTATTCCAGTGTCTAATTCAGTAATACCACAATAAAATCCTCTTTAAAAAGGGGTATTGAATTACTGGTAGTTTACTTAAATATATTTTAGGCCAGCTAATGTAATTGCCGATTTCTAACATCTAGCCTGCCCTACAATAGACAGCGCAGCCTAAACCTAATTTCTGACCATAGGCATAACTCATTAATACAAAGAAATGCACTACTAACGGAAAAGTCTATTGTTCATGTTGAACATCAGTAATACCAATACTCCTGCCCAATAAATAATCTATTATTAGACCAGATTACTTTAATTTACTTTAAACACACTAAAATAAGTATCACATTAATGATAATTTACCTTGAAAATAATATGAAGAATCCAGTCGTTAATTTTTAAGTCTAGATCTATTTAAAATTATTTTACTGTCCACCAATGAAAGTATTAAATTTGATTTTTTTATTAGAATCATAAGGAGTCTGATAGCACAATAGCCTTTTGACTAGAGAGTTACTCATTATACAATAGCATATATTCTATTTTCAAGGTAGATCTACTTCTGTTCTAATAAATATATGATTACTGGTATTTTTTTTTACTGAAATTGTGATCTTTTTCACATTCCCTATCTAGTCCTGGCTCCTATCTCTAACACTACAACAATACTGGCAAAAAAACCCCACTATAATATAATATACCTTTGCTGTATTCTTCTCTTCACCTGAAACTAATCATAGTTAACTCTACTGCTTCTCACAACATTTTGTTAACCCCTTAACGCCGACTGTCGCGTTTTCGCGACATACCGATTTAGCGCATGGCATTTGCGCATTGGTACATTTATCCTACTGGTGCCGGTTGTTGTGTATTGGGTACATCCAGACGGTTGTATCGGTACTAATGGTCACGCTGTCAAGTCGAAATTTATGACGTCACACTCTCTTGACTCACGCGCATCGTAATTTTTTTGACTTCTTGAATTCAGCCTACTTACATTGATTATTATTACTAAATAGGTGATCCGTTTTTGCTACAAAAAATACTAATAGCTTTATTATTCATTCTTTTATGTATATAAACAATATAAATCACATATGAGAATAATTTTGGAAGTTATCTGCTAATTACGGTTTGTCGCGTTTTCGCGACATCCGGCAATAAGACATCAAATGGAACTTGGGTGCCAAGCAGGTATAATGAAATACGATGCATCGCCAAGCGGTCATTTATTCAAGTATGATTATAAATAAGTAACGGATTTACAATATAGTCTTCGCCTATATATAAAAGTGCACTTTAGAACATTACGGTCCATGTGGTAGGTGAAGTAGAGTTCACCTGTTTCATTGACATTGGCAAATGGAGAGACAGCGATGCTGGAATAATGTGATCATGTTGCTGGGTACAATATAACGAATTTAGCTTTGAAATAGCATTGTAAAATATTAGGAGAACATAAAAACATAATAGACAACAGGAAGTGAGGTAGTGGACCACTATCCTGGATACCACCAAAGAAAGGTCTTCACAGTGACCTTGACAATAGTAACACTGAGAATAGACCTACAACTCGTAATAATTACAGTAAGGTTGAGTGCTGACAAACATACCCTTTGCAGTGCTATTGAATACCCACATTAGTGGCATTATGCTGGTATTTAGTGCCGACAGCAGTGTTATTGAGTACCCACATCTTCAGCACTGAGTACCAACATCAGTGACACTGAGCAACTACAGTTTGAGCACTAAGCACTCACAGCAGTGATACTGAGTACCCACTGCTAAGGCTGAGTACCCACATCAACGTTATGGATTACCAACAGCTCCAGCGCTGAGTACCCACAGCAGGGACACTGAGTACCCACAGCTTCAACAGTGAGTACCCACAGCTTCAGCACTCAGTACACATGGCTTCAACACTCAGTACCCACTGTTTCAGCACTAAGTACCCATACCAGTGGCAATATGTAGCTACAGCACTGTCATTGGTAATCAATATCAGAATCAGTCGAGAACAATAGCCGTAGCACGAATCGGAAACATAGGGTACCATCAACAATAGCAGTGAGTACCCACACCGGTGGCACTGAGTACCCACAGCAGTAACACTAAGTACCCACAGCAGCTGCATTGAGCATGGACGAATATACAATGGCTGAACACTGTCATTTAGGACAGTATTTGTTCACGTGCTTTGTGTGTATAGCAAATATAGGTCAAATGAGAAATATGCGTCTTTATTAGTTGACCTTGAGTGAGAGTTCACGAAAATTACGTAACCGGGGACAACTAAGACTCTACACATTGAAGGAAGTCCTTTCATATGTAGTGTGTTACTGTAGTGTAGTAGAATTACGACAGCAAGACATCAAATTACCTATTCATAAGAGTTAGTCAGTGAGCAGGTGCAGCAGAGTTATGTAACTCTATGCCTGAGCTAATAAAGTATATTTCTCATGAGTTTTGCAAGTGATTCTACATCTCCTTGCATGTCCCTATGTTCAGTTTGTGATATTTTATTGTTTGTGCATGGATATTTAGATGAACATGTAACAGTAAAAATAGTAAAATGACCCGGACTAAAAAAAAATTAAATTTCTGTTTGGTCCATAAGTGCCTGATGTCGCGTTTTCGCGACATACCGTAATCATCATCAAAAATAAGTCCAAATTCAAAAACAACTATATACCTCAAATTCAGTGTCAGTATGATGAGAGAAAATCAGCACAAATAATTTTTTACACGCTTGGAACATAATTCAGGCATTAAGGGGTTAAATAGCCAAAATAAAAAAAAAAACTATAACTGAATGTTATGTCAAGGGTTCATTTTATCAAATCGCTTAACACATTCAGTGCATAATTTAAAATTGTTAGAAAAGGGGAGGGGTAGGCATAGAGCCAGAAGTATTCTACTATAGTAACTATATGCTTCTAAATACTAGATATACTATGTTGGGTAATCTACTACTGTACCAAGATACTATCAAAGGTTATGCTAATCCATTCAGATTCCTAATAAAATTTAAAATTAAGTTAGTCAACAACATTAATCTTTAGTATTTTGTTGTGTTGATGGTGTTAATGAAGACTCTAAAAATGTTATGCCTGTACAATAAATGATTCATCACACTTATATTACTTTAAAAAAAAAAAAATTACTCAGTTTTATCTTATTTTATGCATCCCTTCTCCTCCCCTATTTTACCAATGCAAAACAAAAAGTAAGCCTTCCAAGCACTAAAATTATGACGCAAATTTGCAACAACCAGAAAAAATAACCTGAAATTAAAAAATTTTTTTTGGTTAAATCATTTATGTCTTAAATAGAAAATTGAAGCAATATCACTTAACCTTCCTTCTCCCACATGCATGTGACAAGATCTATGGACTATTCCTTAGACACAGCTTAAGTTAGGATTGGGTATTTATTTTACTGGAAAATTCATTTTTTAAAATATTTATATGTATTTGACAACAAATTTGATGTATTATTTTAATCTTTTTTTTTATCAGGGTGCTGCAATGTCTGATGATTCCTATGGATTAGGAAGTATTGAACAGACTGCCCGTCATTTGAATGGCTCAAATGTAACTGAAAGTAATGATTGTTTTCAATCACACACATCTACTATGTCTAAAAATCAGTCTCTTCAGGAGCATCACATTTTAACACAGAATGATATCGCCAATACTTATAGAAAGGCTCAACAGGATATTAGAGTACAGCAGCAGATTTATGTTGAGCAGAATCATCCTTATTTAAATCATGAAGATCAAGTGGTTTTTACACATCAAGTACCAAGCACTTCCCCTGGTCAGAATACATCCTCTGGATCATTCTCAGGTAGCAAAGTTTATCTCCTATTTAAAACTCAGTACATACTTGTGTGGGGGACGGAGTGGTCTAGCGGTAGAGAGCTGGATTGCTAACCCGTAAGTTTCGAGTTTGAATCCGGGTTCAAGTTAGTAGACCGTCCCTGAGTCCACCCAACTCTGATGGGTACCTAACTCACGTTAGGGAAAGTAAAGGCGGCTGTGCATAGTGCTGACCACACTATCTCTTCATATGCCGAGGTCACAGAAACAAGTGAACTCTACTTCACTTGCCCCATAGACTGTCAGGTTTGAAACAGAAACTTTACATTTACTTTACATACTTGTGTATGGCTGTATTGAATTCTCTTTTTTCAGGTGTCAGTCACCATGGCCACCTCCCCCACCCATCTCCTACTCTTTCTTTCTCCTCTTCCCCCCCTCCCCTACACAAATCCCCATTTTAAGGTTTGTATAAAGAAAAACAAACTTTGATGACAAAAATAATTTTTTTGAAATTTTGAAAAATGATTTCTAGAATTCCTTCAAAAGTTAAAGGCAAATTTTAAAAAGACAGATTTTGTAAAATTACCCCAAATTCTCCAATATGCTGTGCTTATTACAAGTTTACATAATGGTTAAAATATATGTTATCAATACATTGTTTTTTCTGTGTTTTGGTAAACATTCGGAATTAGACGTCTCATCATCATATTTGTTTCTCAAAACAAGTAAGATCATTGGTTGTTACAATTGACCAAGTTTTTGTCTCCCTACATAATAGTGAATCTTACTTTTGACTGTCACCACTTCCATAAGTAACTTCTGTCATTATAATCTGAGGTGTTTTCTGTGCTGTTGCTCTGATCACTTGTAGTGTCTGGCAAATATAAATTAAGTTTCTCCTCAACTGCTGAATGACATGCTTTTAGATATTAATTACTTTATTTAATAAATAATGAAGTTTTTTTTAACCCTAAAAAATAACATTTTCTTTTTAATTGTTAAATACATCTAGGCAACTAGATAGGCAAAATATATTTTTAAATTACTCTACTACAGTTTAAGTGTTTTTATTTAAGAATATTTTTTCAAAGATGGAGTATGGATTTTATGTCCAGATTTGTGTGTGTCCAGGCTCACATTTTAGCCTCAACCATAAGAGAATTTAAATTCTGGATAAAGCTATTTGGCCAGTTTTACACAGAAGAAATAGTACTTCCGTAAATGATATCTACCTTGGCCCTGACCTTAATCCTAATTAAATGAAACTATTAGTCAAAATTTGTTTAAGCAAATTTTCTGTAAGATCTTTTTCTATCAATATATTTATTTATATAGGGGAACTATTAATTTAACTATCCAGCATTATAAATTTATTAATATCATCACTATACTTAGTTGTCTCATTCAAAAAGTAAAAACTGTAGACAATCATTTGGGTACCAACTCTCCATATCAAGTGTAGAATTAATGATGTTTAGGCAGATGTTGGCAGTTAGATTAGGTTATCAAGTTCAGTTCACAGGCTTGAGTCCATAGAACTTCCCCAAGTCTACCCAGCTCAATGGAGTACCTTGCTTCAGTTGGGGAAAGTAAAGGTGACATGATAAGCTCAGATAAACAGATAAACTCTACTTCATTTGCCTGTGGATTGTCTGCTCTGACAGGGTACCTTAATTTTAAATCTCTAACCGCTGTACTCTTTGGGAAAAAAACTTTAAAAAATTAATTTTGGGATGAATAAATAGTTACTGTTTTAATATTACCATTACAATAATATAGAGAAGTATTTCTAAAACAAAAATAAATCTAATTAGCATATAAAATATCTAGGCTAACACTATTTACAGTAGCTTTTATATGTAGTCTAAAATGACTTTAAACATTTTTCTCACTAAGAATACCACCCTACAAGAAGTACACTATCCTCATTTAAGCTTTGTTTTTAGCCAGTTTTTTTGTGTTACTTTTCAAATGTTTATCTTATCTTTTAAAAAAATAAAATGTAGACTGTTAGCATTATAAATAAACCTGGTATGCTATTTTGTCTCGAAGATTTTTATTATATAATAATTATGAAAGTGGAAGTATTAAAATTCTCTCAATAGGCTAGCTTTTATTTGACCCCGTTTCTGCCTGAAAGACATGTAAAGGGAACTAATTCAGTATAGCATCTCAAGTAAATTGTATATTTCGCAAGCTATTTCCCTTGTGTACAATTGCCCTATAAATAACTTCTACAGTGAACACCACAACGTTTAAGTATATTTGTATGAAAATGTTTTGTTACAACTATGAACTAAGTCACACTTGATAATATTTGTAGTGTGTAGACTATTGTTTGTTTGAATGCGTGGTTGTAAACTTAGCATAACCTATTTGTTTAGTCCCTATCAGAGTAGTGTTACTTGTAGCCTACTTGAATAGCCTTCTGTAATGGACCTTGAAAGCTCATTTGTTCACTCTTATATTTCCTCAATATTAGAATAATCCCTATTTTTTAAAACAAGAAATATTCAACACTATTTTTTAGTTTTGCTCCCCTTAATCATGACCCTAATCTTTGCTCTAAACGCTGATCTAAACAGTGATAACGGTAAGGTAAAGAAATAAAACCTCCCCTACCACACTGTCATGTTGGCGCTTTTTAAAGAACCCTTACTATATTTTTAATAGAAAACCGTCTGTAGTTAGATACTTGAAATATACAGTCGGGTTTTTTTTTTTAAATATAAGGGGCGAATTCTTTGTTTTTTTTAAAACTGTACAATGTAACCATCCATTCTAATTTGACAAAAGACATTAACCATTATAAATATGTAAAGAATAACCTTTCCGGTGACACCGTGTTTAAATTGTTGAACAGCCCCAAACCATAGGACTACATTCCAGCGTAAATTTCAGTCAGTGACAAAAATCGGCAACGCCCACGACCTTCGACACTGACTATACAACTCGAGGCAGAGGTCTCTTATTCAATGAGAATTCCAAAAATTCAAAAGCTCTTGCGTGGGATATTACTATAAAAAGCCTCGGTACACATTCGCCTGTTTAAAATATGCACGCCGCCTATTCATAAGACAAGTAATATGATGTGTTCGTCCATGTTATGTCACGATGGCTTTAGCCCGGCTGGGCGGGACGGAAATTAAAACCACTTTAGCACTAAATAATTATGAAATGTGGGCAAGAAAATTTTCCGCGTGGGGGTGTTGTATTCACATTTTTTTCCCCGCGATTTAACAAAAAAAAAATGTAATCCTGTGCAACATGTGTTGTTTAAACAAAGTCCTACACATTTTAAAAGTAATTTATTATCGGCAAATTTTATGCAGAGTTAACATTTATTTTCTTAAATTATAAATCTTGTAGGTCATCGGCTGAGCTTTTTATATAGGCGGTAGGGCCAGACTGCATACATAATAGCTGATTCTCGATCACTGCGTCCTATTTAGGCTGAATATGGGCCTCATTCCTTTTTAAAGCTTCATTTCATAGATAATTTTTCTAAAATAAATATACCAATGATTAGCCTCACACGTTTTGTGTAAATTGTCACAGCCAAACATATTTCCGGAGGTAGATCAAGTAGATTGCAACTATTTCCTATGGATTAGGTGGCTAGCACAATGTCCAGCCACCATTCAACTGATAATGTCTATTGTCAAGTATCCACTAAAGCTAAGTGGAATGTAAACTGGTTTCCCACAATAAACTGAGTTTCTCTGTTTGTTTTAAAACTTTTTAAGTCACACTCATTTTCTGCCTGGTCAATGTACATTTTCTAACACATAGAAGCTAGTCTATAAAGACAAAGATAGAAACAAGTGTATAAACACAATAATTTTCGGAAGTATTTTTACTAAATTTGCTGATACACACAGTTCCACACTTGCTTAAAGGTTAAAAAATCTGAGAAAAGGATGTAGTAAAAAGGAGCATCCCGTTTCTATTTTAACCCCTTAAAATTTCTCTAAAATATAAGGGACAAATGAATTAATTCTTAAATGCACCTGCTAGAAATAAAAGTAAATTTTGTTTCTGTTAATTCACGGAAAGCAGCCTTACTGTTTGCAGCACGTGACCCTGGTCTGAAGTAATTACAATGTAATTCCAGCTTGAGAATTTATATCTAATTGGTTATCTACTACAGTGGCCGTCATTACTGCGCCGCTTCTAACGCTTCTAAAACATCTCCCATCGTCAATTTCCCATCTCTTAACTGTATAGTAGATCTACATAAAATGGGCCGGGGTTTTGAAATTTGTTGCACGTCTTTTGTGTGGACTCTTGTGTATACGATGGGACGGAGTGGTCTAAAGGTAGAGAGCTGGACTGCTAACCCGTAAGTCTCGAGTTCAAATCCGGGTTCAAGTCAGTAGACCGTTCCTGAGCCCACCCAACTCTGATGGGTAACTTACGTTAGGGAAAGTAAAGGCGGCTGGGCATAGTGCTGACCACACTATCTCTTCATATGCCGAGGTCGCAGAAATAAGTGAACTCTGCTTCACTTGCCCCATAGACCGTCAGGTTTGAAAAGGAAACTTTACTTTTTAGCGCAATTTCCATACGGACAATTGCGATTATTAACTCGTCATTTCTGGATGGATGAATGAATGAATGGATGGATGGATGGATGTGTGTCCGCAGTTTTAAGTCGTATCTCCTCCTCAACGAAGCAATATCGAGGACTAGTTCCAAAAGCAAATATGTTAAGCAAGTTCCAAGGATGATTGTGGGCCAAAAAAAAATTCCCGGAATTTCTTCCTGGATTTCCAGGAAAAGCAAAAAACCTCGAACAAATGCAGTTTTTGGTCCATATCTCGGCAACCAGACCACTTAGCGACTTGAAACATTTACCAATCGATTCCTGCCATAATTTAGAACAATATTGCCGAAGAAAGTTTTCAAAAATATCCTTTCGTTCGGTCACAAAAAAATAATTAAGAATTTTTAAACTGAGCATCGTGTAGGCCTAGGATGATATTTTTAATTTAAACTGAGCATCGTGTAGGTTTTTAGCGCAAA